CTCATTTCTTGCTGGGTATATCGGGGGGGGGGAAAGGCAACAAATGGATAAATTGGGAAAAACAATACACAACACAAAACCACAAAAACACAAACCCAAACCCAACCCAACACCAACTAGGAACGAACCCAGGTTGTTGTTTTTTTTTGGGGGGGGGAATCTTTTGTTTCTACAAGAGCGAAGGCCATTTAATCTTTGGTTTTCTCCTACCGTGCTGGCAAAATAAATTTCCTACCCGCAGTTTTGCATTGGTTTTAAGGAGTCCAACCTTGAAACGTAGACCACTGAAAAAAAAGGGAGAAAAAGGCAATGGGGGTGATTTTGCAAGTTGGTATTTAACGGCGCCCTTCGGAGACAAAGTCGTGGTGAATTGTCGAGACAAAAATCCACACAAAGCAAATAAAAGCTTACCAATTACACCACAACCAAGGTGACACGCCATAGAACAAGCGCCGAGGATACGATTTCAAGAGGCTATTACAAATGGGTTTCAGTAATGCAGTTCTTGCCTTAGTTCTCCTCGCTCAATTATGCTTTGAAATAGCAGGGTAGTTATACGGCCAATATAAATTGGCAAGCCTTATACTTTTATGATAAGGTAGCTTAGACCATCCAATTACCACTTGCCGACCCACTGTCTCCTGCCAATGTAAAGTCATTGTTTAGTCTTGGAAAGTGCACTTGCCTACATTGCATTCTGTATTTGCGTCAATTGAACAAATCACTTAATTAAAAGTCTTTGTACAGCTGATGACTTTCAGCAGAAATGATTAGAGTTTTCAATTTGCCCATCCTTTGAAGTTTGCGGAATCGGCTTTCCCGAGGGATGCCGTGAATGGAGACATTCAACGTCATTTTCATGCTTTCGTCTCAACGCTAAAACCGCATACGTTACATCTGTTGTTTATGGCTAGGTCTAGGTCTTCACTAGTCAGAAAATACATAGAGACATGTCACCACGATGGACGTGGCCATAGCTCTCGAGGCCTATTTCAGACACAGCGTGTATGTTCGCGCACACGAGAGTGGTGCCTTGTAGGGCTGGATTAAGTGTACTGTATAGGCCCTTGGCACCCTTGTTCCTGGCCCCCTCCCCAGGTAACTGTATGCAAATACATGCCGCTATGTGAGCGCCAGTCGGTGCAATAATTTAACAAGCAGATTTCAGCCCCAAGTTTTCGAAAAGTCACAGTTTTTGTTTCTAAAAGTTCTGGGAAATTGGATGGAATGGAAGTGCACGTAGTTCTATGCTGACCACTTCACAGGGGGCGTGTCTTTTCGTTGGGCCCTACACTTCTTCGTAAGCCGAGCTGTAATGAATGGCCATCCAGAAACACACTAGAATACAGTGCTTCATAATGTGTCCATGTCAGTAGCGTCAATCTGTGGTTGGGACTGGGCAATCGACCGTGGAAATTGGGACGGTTGAGGGGAGGGTGTTACTCAGGACACCCCAGAAACTGAGAGGCGCTGTTCATGATTCAGATGTGCATCTTATGTACTTCAACCCTTACCCTAACACTTCAAAATGGCGTCCTCTCCTCTCTTTTTCACTAAAGGTTGGCTGTTGCGAAGTTCGACAAAACTCCTCAAATTCAGCCTTTTAAAATGTGCGGGTGGGGTGGTGGTGATTCCATTGCCTACCCCGGTCAAAAAGTGTCCGTGTGTTTATGATGCCTTGTGTGGTACCGGAACAATGGGAAGTATACCCCACAAGGAACATTTGTTGTACCTGTGGGGTACTAAAACGATACCCTGCCAGATTTTCAAGAAACTGATATTTTTTTTAAATTTACACAAAAATAATGAATTTTCCAAAGTGTCTTTGATTGAGGCAAATTGAGGCTTTTCATAAATGATTCAGGGTCAAATGGAAGAGATTGGAAAACTGAGCTTTACACTCAAATTTCTACTGCACGAGAACAAAGGACATTCCCCACAAGGATAATGTAATGGTGTGCGTGTGTGTGCAGAAGTGGCATACATAGCGTGGACCTCTGCACAAAAGAAGTCCACATAATGTAGGGTATAATGGCGTTGTGTGGATTCGCACACGTCCACACAATGTTTTTCCCTCTCTGAAAAACAGTTTCAAAGGCATATCGGGGTACAGTCCAGGAAATCATCATCAACAATCCAACTCGAAGTTATCTTATAGTTGGATAAAAACGAGCATTTCCCTCAACTTTCTTTAGCCACAGGGGAACACAGGAATTTCCACACTTTGAATTTAAAACAGTCACGTGTGTGGGGGAGGGTTATATACCCTAATCTTCAGGTTTTTACGCCCTTGTCCAGACCTTGCATTTGTTAGCTATATACACCGGGTCGTTAGTGGAAAAACACCAACTTTCTGATGATGGTCTGATTTGTAATGAAAGATTCTTCGATCTTGATCCACATTTAGTTGAACCCGATTCGCCTCTTATTTGCTTTCAAAGGCCGTCACAATGCAAAGAGGCAATGGACAGCTGCGCAGCTATTGACTTTTCTCAGCCGCACAAACAATCTTATTCACGAAGATGCGATAAGTTGTGAAAGCTTATTGCTGCCAACGTAAAACAATTCAAGTCGCTGAAAGGATTGTCTCGTAAGACGTAGTTATCTCGTCGCTTCATGTGGATAATCTCACATGTTGTAAGTTACGTTGCCCACTGTCGCCCGAGAATCTCGCCGTGGTTTGGCTCAACTCGTGCACTCTCGCGGCCAGGTGCTGACGCGTGCAGTAGGCCGGCGTCAGCTATTAAACGAGATCGTAAGTGGGTGGAGTAGGTCGGCATTTACAAATGTCGGCGCGTGAAAATTGAGGAGCACCTGCGCATACAGTGGTGTTGTGAATTTTGTCTTTCATGATATTTGTCTTCAAAGTTAATCAAATGAGCACTTTAAACCTAAAAAAATGGGGAAAGGACAAGGCATCTTCCTGAAAATGGAATTAAGAGAAGATTGAGAGGGGTGGGTAAAGTGTCTACATTAAAACGAGTATACAATGATTTTGTCATACACAACTAGCCCTATGAACTTACTGCCGCCCTGTTCGATGAAAAAAGATTAATTTCACTATCATAAATGAAATTAGCTTCTTTCAAAACGTTGGTCAGTTGTACCAGCTGTCTATAATTTGAAGCGATTTATTGCCACAATCTGGTCACATTTTTATTCAATATTGACCAGATGTTGCACAAATTGTATGGCAACTATTGTTTATAATTTTCAAAGAGAAAACAGGCCAACGTGTTGCCTAATATGCAGCTTTAATCAAGTATAATTATTTCCTCCGAGCAGACATGCACAATGACAGAGCCAGCAACTTCTACTGATAAACCGCCATTTTTTTAATCAGACAAACTCATTATTGTTCCTTGTGTTCATTTGTATGCTATATGCTTATCAAGGCGAAGGAATATTATGCAGGATATTTACACAAATTTCAAATTTCCTTTCTTCGAACATCGAAAGGAAATTAACGTCTTCGCAAATGTGGAAACAGCCCATGTGCAAACGTACAAGATGAGAAAAAACCTGCAGTTTAGCGTATATAGATATATTAGTTGTGAGAAATTTAGATCTCCCACAAAGTTAACGTCTGAGTTTAAGACGTTTTGCCGAGCCCGTCATGACTTTCAGATGCGTCACTTCATCCTATGGCTGTCGCAGTGAGCTAGGCCGATAGATTGGCTGGACGCGATAAACAATTTGCTTTGCAAAAACAGATGTATATTTATTTACCACAATGTTTGCTGATAAAGTTCTTGTCATTTGCTTCAGACAATATCCTGAATAACACCGTCATTTTCAGTAATAGTTTTGGCTTCCAGGAATGGTGTGCGATGCTACTTGAACATAAGCAGTGCGGT